GCCTCTAGAGATTATTTTTTTTCCCTAATCAAAGTTGATAATTTTCCCAAAAGAGTTTCCAAGAGCTGGGACTACAGTTACTCCATAAGTTTATACAATTATTTTTCATTATTTTGGGCCTGGAACCAACACACAGTAATGTATGGAAGGTGCAAGAATAGAGAGCAGATTCAGTGCCCTTCTGTTGCTGCTATGGGAAATTGCTCTTTTTAATATCAGGTTCCTAATCCCTGCACATCTATAAACAGGTCTGGTTGCTGAGGTTGAAATAACATTGCAACTCAGGCAAAAAAGTTTGTCTGTTATTTATTTGTAGTACAATAGTACTTATTTTTTGTGTGGTGGAAGAGTAGAAATAGTGCTGAGGCCTGCAGAAGTGAGAATGCAAGCTTAATACTACTGCTTTCCTAATAGTATTCTTAATACCACTGTTTCCTCTCATTTGTTGTTAAGATGCCATATTGTTTCAGCACAAGCATGTCAATGTGCTGGATGGGCAGTTTGAGTACGTGCAGGAAACCTTAGCAGGCCTGCATGTGGTTGTTAGCAGCGTGTGCTGTGCAGGTGCAGCTCTTCACGCCCCCATCCCCTCTCTGCTATCTGGTTGATCTGCTTACCTGTGCTAGCTCCTTGCCTGGGATCTCCAGACATCCAGTGACTGAAGAAAGAGGGCATACCTATCTGGGCTTCTCCATTACCATAGTGGTAATTCTCATCACTTGGAAAGATAATTCACTAGCATTTGCGCTTGTAAACCTGCTATTTAAGAGGCTCTGGTCTTTATCGCTCCTTGGAAAGAGGAAGAAAACATTCCTTAGCGTTGTCTGAGGCATTTGGAGCTGCATAATGATGACATGCAACACATTAAGTGCTAGTTTGTCTTGTGTATATGGGTAAAAGTTGATATTTACTGCCCTTTATCGTATCAATTCACTGGAAATAAATTGGTATTTGAAATGACTTGCACAACTTCATGGTTTCACTGAACTATCTTGTTATTTCATGTGTCAGGATGCAAAATATCTATGATGACTTGCTGTGTGTGAAGGCTGTGGGCTTTTTCCTGTTCCTCCTGATGTTTCACAGTGGGGCAGCTAAATATCAGAAGGTGGATGGGCAACTTCGAAGATACCATGTTGTCTGCAGCCAGAGACAGATTCTGGACCAACATGCTGTAGCTTGAGAGTCAGACTGTAGAAAAAAAAAGACACACTACCTGTACATGCACAGTGTCCAACACGTGGAAACTGCATTTATAAGAGGGAGGGACTGAAGGGGCAGTTGCCTTCAGTTCTTGTGTAGGTCTTGAATCTTAAACAGAGAAGATAAGCTGGTTGGCAATTGCTGCTTGGTATTGTCTCCTTAAGAGATAATGTTTTCTGAATATTTTCTCAAATGACACTTTATTTTCCAAGATAGATGCTCTGTGGTGCACGGTCTCTGAAAGGCTGCAGAGTACCATGGATTGATCTGATTTAGCATTGGAAAATATGTTGTCTTAACAACACACAAAGTAAGAATAAATGCATGGCTTGAGGGCATTACTAAGCAAAGGAAGATCCCATTTTAACTACTGTAACTTCTAGTACAAGAACCTCCCATAGTGATACAGATAATTAAACTATATTGTGACGTTCTGTTCAGTTCCGTCTTTTACTTCCACTCTCTTGTTCCAGCTGGAAACATTAGGTACCATGTTGCAGTCCACCCTGAGCAGCCTGAAGTAATGAAATTAATGTTCAGTCATTCAGTGTAGTAAGGTCTTCAGTTTCTTTTGTCTCTTAGAATTCATGGAGGTTTTTTTCCTTTTAATGCAAATGACATTGCCTTTTTAAACAGCATTATTTTTCCCTTCTGGATCAAATTTGTTAGCAATTTTATGTATCCAAAGATAGGGAGAGATGAAAACATTGTGTTCTGTAATGTTTTTGTACAAACAAACCTTTGAAGGCCCTATTTGTCATTAATTTTAGGTGTGTTAGTCTCAGATGTGTAATAATGAAGTATATGTGTAGCATGCCATGTGCATTTAAAAGCTCTCATTTCATGTATAACAGCCATGTGCTCTTTTCCCCTGTCCAAGCACCTGTGTTCTGAAACAATTAAAAACTGCTTTCTATTTTTTTTTTTTATGGCTTCAGTTTTGTCCTGGGTTACTGCCAGGGCTTGGTAAGGATCTTACAAATTACTTTCCTTGCCTACACAGGGCAAGCAGGACTTCACTTGTGAAAGCTGTCTTAACTTTGTCTTGCTCTTTTTATTGCTGGTAGAAATTAGTCTGAGTTGTTTCCTCTTTTTCCTCCCCAACAGTATCTTGAATTGCTTAGCATTTTGGGTTTTGATTTAATCACCTTGGCACCATGGCAAGTTTCATGTGGTCTGAGCTGAATGCCAAACTTATCTTCTCTCAGCCTAACAGATATCAAGGTTTCTTCAGACTGTCTACACCAGGGTTTCAAGTGGGTTGAGCTCTGTTTGCCTCCTTCATTAGCAGGTTCTCTGTGTCTAAAAGCTTGTCTGGGACAGTTGTAGGACGACCATTTAGAAACACTGTTAAAACGATTGTGTTCTTCTCAAAATCAAGACTAAAGTTTGGAAATGAGAGCAAAAGGACTTCATATAGCAGGAAGAGGACAAGGAATTTTCCCAGTCAGTCATCAGCTCATTGAAGTGACAACTGGCAGAGGCCTCATCCCTTCTTGCTCTGCCCATCATGTGGGCACAGGAGGGAGTTGCTCTGTATCCTCCATGTAGTTCAGCCCTTTTGAGAACACAGAATTCACCATACATCCCCAGTGCCCCTGAAAGCTTTTGGATAACCAAGGAGTCATGTTCTTCCATGCTTATGGCTTTAAGTGATTGAAGTTTTGGTTTTGTTTTGTTTGTTTGTTTTGGGGTTTTTTTTAGCAGCAAATAACCACTAAGGAGATAAAGTAAAAGATGAGCATACTGGTACTAACTGGAATTCTGTGCTCAGCCAACATCCTGCAGGTTTTCTTGGAATTAGTGGGAAGCACATACTTTCATTGTTTAGCTTAAAAAGTGATACTTATTTTATACCCATTGTGGTGTTTCAGCCGCAGGTACAAATAACTTGCACAGTACAAAACTGCAGATTATGAGCATGTGTTTCCTTGAAGAGGGTAGAAGGGGATTAGAATATGATTAGGGATTTATTGTTGAGAGGGATTAAGGAACAGGAGCTTTTTAAGGTCACATCTTCAAATTGCAGTCTTGCTGTTCCTGAGAATTTGCTATCTGAATCTGAACCCCCTCTCCCTTGGAAACACTGTTTGGAAAAGCTTTGGTTCTTAAGGCACAGGAAGAAGGCTTTATGCATACTTCCATGCTTCATTATCCCAAATGCTACAGCTAGGAAAAGGAGCTCTTAGAAAACCTTTCTTGTTTGCTCTTTCTTGTTACTTTAAGATGTTTGTTTGTTTTTTTAAATTCCTAATTTAAAGGACACTTTTTTAGAAATAACGATTGAAAGTTACAGGGTACCTAAGCAGTCATTTTCTCTAGTTCAGTTCTGATGTTCCATGACTTGGAAACTGCCTGCAGTTGTGTTTCTGTAGGAGGGTCCTCTATAATCGGAGAGTGAGCAGAAGAAAGAAACAACTCTACAAAGGAGGAAAGACACTTGACTTGACTTCATGTCTCACTGAAAAAGAAATGCAAAAATTTCTTATAAACTTGACTAAAACTAGCTGAGGCAGATTGTTTTGTTTACAATTCTCTGTTACCTGTAACATTATTTAAACTCTAGGGTAAATGTCAGGTAAAACATACATAATTAAGTGGCTGGAAGCTGCTGCAGCGTCAAGGTTTTGGAGTGAGCAATCCTATTTCTCTTCTGCCCCTTGTTGCTTCAAATGTATGCCTCTCTGCTAGGCACCAATGCTGCAGCTGTAGCAGACTCTCCTGGTCTGTTAGCTCTGCCTTTCTGTTATGTGACATTTATAACATGTTGAGAAAATGTCATGAAATCTGTATGTTACCTGGTCTTGTATTTCCATGTGGATTTTTCCTTATCTTTCCTTTAAAATAACAAGCTACAGATCTGACTTGTTAGTAGAACTGTACTACACAATCGTCTCAGTCTGTGGGTTTTTAAAATTTGTTTGGGGATTGCTGGGTTTTTTTTATATACAGTAAAATACTGCAAGCAATATAGTCCCCTGTACTCAAACCAGTTGGGAGACAATCCTTTCCTGATTTGCCATTTTGTTGGTCCTTGTGCTATTCCCTGCAAGACTGATTGCTGCTGTTGTGTCCTCATTAACTGCTAATAGACTTTTTCTAGTCATTAAACACTCTTGCCTTCTGCATGCAGTAGTCACCTCTGTCTTGCAGTCTGCCATTGCAGTAAATCTGGTCATGTTGTTTCTTCATCAACAGCAACAGCTTAGTGCACTCTTGCCCTGTACTGTTGTTCAGCCCCCACAACTACTATTTTTATGTGCTGAGTAGTTCTTTATGACGGGAAGAATGAACATTTATCCAGTTAGTGCTGATTGCTTCGTAAGAATAATCTGCAGACTTTTGCCTGTAAAACCTCAGATTAATTCCAGCTCTAATATAAATGGAAGTTAAATTATAAGTCTTAAATTTAATTTAGTCATTAGGGCCTTTCATAATCCAGGGGCTGGCCTGCAGGCAGCTCTGCTGTGCATTCACAGGAGCCCTTATTCCAGGGGGTTTTAGGCCTGGAAACTGTCGGCTCTAAAATGCTCTCTCGTTTTACCAGAAGCTCCACCCAGCCCTGTGTTGACTAGGAAAACCTGTAGAGCAATCTGCATAAGACAGCCAAGTCAGTACCCCAATTAAGTTTGCTGGTGTGATAACACAAATCTAATTAGGGCTTAAGTGTGTATATTACAGAGGTTACGTTGGTGCATCAAAGTGTGAAGACTGTATTGTACACAAAGTACTGTGTTAACACCAAGGAGTAGCTTTCAATGTATCTTAATGCTTTTTGTTTTTCTCCTTAGATCAATGTTCGAGTTGTTACTATGGATGCAGAGCTGGAGTTTGCCATCCAGCCAAACACTACAGGCAAACAGCTGTTTGACCAGGTCAGTGAAGGGTTGGTATGGGCTTTTGTGGAGTACTTTTCAGACTATAGTGTTTTCTTATGACTAGATTCCAAACCTATCTTTCGTCCTTCTCTCCACCTCCTAATCAAAGATCTTCAAATTCCATCACAGTAAAAGAAAAAAGCAAAAAATCCTTGCAGGTATATTATGTTCCAGTGGGATGTGGCTTCCTAGCAGTTCTGGGTCATGAAGTGTCATAAGGGATCTAAAACATCGAGACAGCATAGGTAGTGTGTAGGAATGTACCTCTTGCTTTGAAATACAGCTTAGCTCTTACTTATTTCTTAAAACCTGAAGGTAAAATGCTGTCCCTGTCCACTTCAGAATCAGTTTTTCAAATGGCTGCTGAATGTGTAGCTGCATGGAGCCACTTGCCACAGGTGTTCGAGTTTTTCAAAACTACTGGAGAACTAGAAGAGTTTGTGATCTCAATGCAGCCACTAGAACAAGACACCTTTGAAAAGCCTCTGTGGAGCAGGATGGAGCAGAGACTTGTGCAGCCTGTCTCCAGGGGTTCCCAGGGAAGTGGAGGGCATAAGTAGCCAAGATTCTCCTTCCTTACTGTTATTCTTCCTGCTGTTGAGTTAACAATATACAGGTCTGTTTGGAGATGGACCTACAAAGGTCAGATAAAGACAACTCAAATAAACAAAGACCACTTTGTAAAACTTTGTAAGAGCAAGCTACTTAAGAACAATAAAACTTAAAGCCAGGCCTAGATTTCAGCAGAAAAATTTTACTTAGTGTTCTGGAATTAAAAAATCAAACAACAAGCTTGCTTCTGGATGTTCCTACTGGAGCCCTGAAAACTAAGAATTGATCTATGCAACATTCAGTTGCACATACTGAGCTGTTTACAAAGTGATACAGCAATTCCTTTGCACTTCTCCCCTTGTCCCTGCCAGCCTTGATAGCAGAGGGTGGTTGTGCTTTAACTCAGATAGGCAGAACTGGCTCAACAAAGGTCCATTCCTTTTAAGATGTTGTTGGTACAATTTCACATTTCAGTATGTCAGCTAGAACTTGCTAAACCTTATGGCAACTGTGCTGATTTTCAGTGAGAAGTACTTTTTAAAAACAAACAAAAATGTTTAGTGTTTTCTTGAAGGGAGCAAAAGGAGGAAACCAAATTATAATCGCTGCGGAAATTCACAGTACGAAATTGTATTCATAATTAAATATAACTTCAATTCCTTTTGTTTATTACTGATGTGGGATAAAAGTATTCATTGACTGGAAACATGGTGAAGGGCATGTGAAATGCCTGCATGCTTGTGGAACCAGCATTTGGTGTTTGACCTGCCCGCTGTTGCATCAGGGTAAATTCCTCCCCCCAGCCTCTTCAATGTTAACCCAAAACAGACAATTCTGGTTTCGTCTTTGGGGATACAAAAATCCAAATGACTAAAAGCCAGGTTTTTGGAAGCAATGCCTCAGATCAGACAGCATATGTATGTCCTATGTTCCTTATGACAAGGATTCAACAAGGACTTTTTTCTTCCCCATATATTCACTGATGTTTATATCTGTTAAAAGCCAGGGTCATCTCTCTGGCAGAAGAGAAACTACTTTCTTGACCTGCAGCTGAGGCACAAAATCATGAGAACATGGAAAAAAACCAGATGCTTCAGATCCAGGATACTTATAGATTGCTGCTTAGGTAGTTCTGGACTTCTGAAGACTGCTTGTTGCAGCATTTATTGCACTTTTGGGATTGACTATCACCTCATTAAGATTTGCTCCTCACATCCTATGGCTCAGATTTAAAACTTATGGTTGGAAATTCTTACCTGTGGTCCATGCCTTGCTGTGGTGCACTTCTGCATGTCAAGAGAAGACTAAGATCTAAGCATGCAGCACAGAACCAGGAAAGGTGAAGACCATATGTTTAGCTGCAAGTATTTTGACATCCTCTCTTCACTTATGCTGTGACAGCCTTTTACTAGGCCCTTATCTTGGGTGGAGTTTACACTCAGATAAAGCCTATGGAGGCAACAGGTTTTTGCAGGTATGAGGAGTCGCCCAACTTGAACTGCAGAACCACTGTTGGGGGGAAAAGGGTGTTGAAGAAGCAAGCTGTTTTTAAAAATCACACAATGATTTCTTGGCCTGCTGTCAGCTAACGAAACTACTCTGGCAGTGCCCTTGTGCTTTAGGCTTTGCTATAAGTGTGTCCTGCACATAAGGTGGATTACAGCTCCTTTTTAGAGAAAGGGAAGAATGGTGGAAACCGGTGAATCCTGAGTTCAGCTCTGTTCAAGCCAGACCTGTGCAGAGTTTATGCCAAAGTGATCCAAGGTGTCCTGAGAACCAATGCAGTGGTCTCTGTAGCTGGATGAAGTACCTCTCAGGAAGGCCATCCTGGGTCTCAGGAGAAGAAACTCAAATGGAGGAGAATGTGCTGCTGGCAGTTTCTGGGAGTGAATGCAATTCTGGGTGGCATGAGTAGGCTTAGGATTTGCTGTTTCATGCATTTGAGGAGGGGGAGGAGGTGTCTCCCATCTTGAATGAAACGCCTTTGTCCTTAGTTCTTCCTTATTTTGCTATGGAGGAAGTTTAGAAACCATTTCCCAGAGTACAGGCTAAAACCTTCCTGTCTCTGCTTCGTATTGGAACTGAAATGGTCAAATTGAGGTTTAGCTTAATACTTTCTCCTTCCTTGGCTTTAGATTTTGGGAAGAACTGGAGGGGTCATAACTTCTGCAAACTTTCTAACCCGACTAATAGGAAAAGTATACTTTTTCTATTGTAAGAGACATTCAGAGATGATAACATGATAACTGCTTGATTTATGTTTTTTTTTTAAAGAGCGGGGGTTTGAGAACACTTCAGCTTTTACTTGATTAAAATTCCTTTCCCCTCCTCCCATAAAGCAGCTTGTTTTACCACAGAACAGACAAGTTTTCTGACAGCTAGACATATTTTTAGAAAGGTCAGAACTAGACTTTACTCAATCAAGCAGAAAACCAGGGGTATGTTGAGCATGGCACTTCCTGTTGCACAAAAAATGTTGCAATTTTGTTAAAATGAAGAGCTGCATAAGTCATTGTTTAGGATCTCAGACCTGTTGAAGCACATGTAACTACACCCTCTCAAGTCTGTCACTTCCTGACTTAGAAAGTAGTTTTAAAAAGCTCTTGCCTTCCATTCATTTCAACTCCCTGTGGTGATGTCTACATCACTTTTTGAGGGTCTGCTCCGCAAATAACATCAAGGACATGATCCAGATGTTTGTGTTCTGGATCTTACCAGATCTCGGCTCTGTCCACAGCACAGCTTTGCAGGTAGCTGAGCTGGCAGCAAACTACTGGGCTACGAGAACAGGTGACCAAGAGTAGGAGTAGGTTGGGAACTTGTTAGGCTGTCTCCTCCACTGAGGAAAAGGAGCATGTCCAGACACTGACAGGACTGTTTTCACTTTTCAGTCTGCCATCCAGTTAACAGATGGTGTTTCTGGATCTTTCATCTGGTTAGTATTTACAATATATGAAACAAAATCGTCCTAATGTTGGGCCATCAATATATCTTGTCCTTCAAAACCAGCCTTTGTGGGGGTTTAAAAAAAGAATTCTCTTTACTGAGAATACTTGCAACTTGTTTTAGTTCCCAAAACTACACAGGGAGCAGCTGTGAAGCATTCCTCAGTTGCTTCCTCCAGCCAGATAATCTTTGGTGACTGGCAGACAAGATCACTTCAGCCAGTAGTATTGCTAACTAGTTGTAGTTAGTACTAACACCATTACAGACTGTCTAGACATAAGCTTTGGTGAGAGAAGTAACTTGCTGGCTTCAGTTTTAAGAAGGGCAGTAGATAGAAGCAAGCAGAAGCCCCACCTGCTGCCAGTGTCCCAGTCTAGCAGTTGGTGACCTGTCACTTGCCCTCTTTGTCTCTCCTGTTTCTCCAGAATTGTCCTTTCCTAGGAACTGGGTGCAACAAGTAGCTTAGCCTGTGCCACTGCTGTCATCTGCTACAGAAGCTGTAAATCTTTGTCTACAAGATCAAATTAAGAGATGCCAGATGAGTAGATTTAGGCTGCTGCCTGCACTGCAGGTTGTGTGGGACTTGAGAGGAGACCTGGACTCAGCTGAACTGTTACCTACAATACCTTTTTTTTTTTTAACCTTTCTGTTGCAGGTGGTTAAAACCATAGGTTTGCGAGAAGTGTGGTACTTTGGTCTTCAGTATGTGGACAACAAAGGATTCCAGACTTGGCTGAAGCTTGATAAAAAGGTAACAGACTTCATGCTAATTGCTGGGCAAAGGTCAATGCTTACATGACTCCTGATGTGTTATTGGTTGCAACTTTATAAACTCTGTATCTGTTGTTTGTTCCCTAATTCTCATAACTCCAGGATTATTTGTAGAGAAAACTTTTGTGACTTCATGGGAGCTGTTTGGGTGAGGTGTGGCATGGTGGAAATTTGCCCTTTCTCTCCATGCCAGTTGTAGAAAGCTTTATACCTTTTGTCAGAAGTGCAGCAGCAGCCTGATGTGGCACTTTCTTGGGTAGAAGCAGCTATTCTTGCGGTGTCTGCAGAAACGTCCTGTCTAGTAGTAGTTTTAATCTCTGCTTGTGCAGGATCAGTTATTGCCCTAATCACAGAGAGAGGTTGCTTCAAGGCTGGGCAGTTGTTGCAGAGTACAGATGCCTCTGATGTGCTCTGGTTTGTGGCCTTGCAGTTCTTAGGAGGGTATGAACAGTTTTTCTTGATGGGGCGGTCAGTGACGTGTTTAATGACAGGAGGCTGTTCTCTGTCAAATGCATACAGCACTGAATGGGTTTGCCATCTGATACAGCCTGGTAAATTATTATCTGGTCACCAAGGTTTGCTGTGCAAGCAGAGTTTTACTGGCTCAGTTGGAAAACATAATGTGTTTCCCTGCATTCAAATACCAGTAAGAAGCAGGAATTAAGGATTGGCAGTAGTAAGTAGCCAGTCACTTGCCTCTTAAGGCAAATGCCCCACATCCCTTTTTCTGTGTAAAAGCAATTTATTCTATTGTATGCAACCCTACTCAGTTGTGTTCTTCTCTTGGTCCTCAGGTTTCTGCTCAAGAAATCAGAAAAGAGAATCCCCTCCAGTTCAAATTCCGTGCCAAGTTCTTTCCAGAGGATGTGGCTGAAGAGCTGATCCAGGACATCACACAGAAGCTCTTCTTCCTGCAAGTGAAGGAAGGGATCCTCAGTGATGAGATCTACTGTCCTCCTGAAACAGCAGTACTTCTTGGCTCCTATGCTGTGCAGGCCAAATTTGCAGATTACAACAAAGATTTGCACAAGCCTGGATACCTCAATTCAGAGCGTCTGATCCCCCAAAGGTGAAAGAGCTGGTTGATGCAGTGTTCCCTTTTTTTGTTTCTTTTTTTTGTTTGTTTCTTTTTTTGGGGGAGGGTGTTGTTGTTGTTGCTTTTCTATGGTTTGGTTTGGTTGGTTTTGGGGGGTTTTTTGGGAGGTTGGGGGGTGCAGAGTGTTTAAAGTCAGGAATTTATGGTTAAATACAAAGAGTTTGAAAGCACAATTTCTGGTTTGTTTAGGGTTGTTTTTTTAATTGAGCTGTGTGCATTTGAGTTTTTTTCCTACTTTTATTTCTGTCTGAGTGTGTTTTTGTGCTCTTGCCTTGGGTTGGTTAAGGTAGAGAGGAGATATACTTCTAGATTCCGCTTTTCTTCCTTAAACACTGGTGTCATGCTGCTGACTGGCAGCATAAATATCTCCTCTTTAAGAAGAAAAGAGCAGCCTTCAATCATGAATGTGTCATCCCTGTAGAAATTCAGATTATGCATCCTTAATCCTAATGTACACTCCTAAAAATCCTAAAATGTATGTGGAAAGTGTGTCTTGAAGCTACACAGCCCATCCCCACACAGGATAAATGCACGTTATAAAAAAATTGGCTTCTGTCTACAGGTCCTGCTGACTAACTCTGCACAGTGTCTAATTCCAGGAACGACACCTACTTTTGCTTTAATCCTCTGATTTCTGCAGCATGTAGGTGATTCTTTTGCAGTGTTCTGCTTGCTCCTCTCATGTCTCTCATCAATAACTAGGAAGGCTTTGCATGTTGTTTTTTTTTTTTATTCATTCTGAATTGCTCTGCTTCCCAGAGTAGATCTTTGGGCTGAGCAGGATCTTGCTCTTGGTTTCAGTAAGGCTTTGTGGGTGGGACTGATTTTTCAGTAAGACTACAGCAAATATCAGCATGAATGGATCCTGCAGAACACAGAATTTAATCTTGCCTGTATCTCTTTCTTTGTGTAGGGTGATGGACCAGCATAAACTCTCCAGAGAGCAGTGGG